CAGCCTATTTTTATTGTTTTTTAAAGATTTCTTGGTTGTTATTTAAGCCATTAAATAGAAATATCCTGTAAAACATTCAAACTATATTGGAAAAATATAAAGTAATGGAGAAGCCCTAAGCAGGTCTGAGTTATTGACCAGCCTTGAAAAAGTCAGTTTAAGTGGGCAGTCATAAAAGCAGACACATACAGGTCTTAGTCACTTTGCTTCGACCTCAAACATAAAAATTCACATTCAGGCACTAATTTTTCTTTGAGGATCTTGACTCAAATCCCCCTTTGATTTTCTTGCATAAATCACATCCACAATCCTAGAATTAATCACCTATTATTTCCAATTTCTTTAAACTTAAAGACCCTGGTGAAGCAATGTGATATAGCATACTTCTAGATTTTTAGGGTTTTCCCTGAATAGTTTATCTTTCACATCTAATTCAACATGTCAGCAACTCTCATTGAGTATTGCTTTCAAAGGATGTAGCGTAGTTTGCAGGGAAACAATTCTTTATGCACTCATATTTCATCAATTTCTATAATATTTAATTCTAGGATTACAATGACAAACACACCTGGCATAAACAAACTAGGGACACATCTGACAGACTCTTGGTAAACAGACAACTCAACCCAGAAGTAGCTGAGTTCTTGCTTTTCTAGCCCAGAGGTCAGCAAACTCTGGCCCTGTGGGCCTGCTTTTGTACATTCTGTGGGTTAAAATGTGTTTTAGGGACTGGCAGCTCACACTTATAATCCCAGCACTTTGAGAGGCCAAGGCAGGCGGATCACTTGAGGTCAGGAGTTCGAGACCAGCCTGGCTAACATGGTGAAACCCGTCTCTACTAAAAATTCAAAAATTGGCTGGGTGTGGTGGTGCATGCTTGTAACCCCAGCTACTCAGGAGGTTGAGTCAGGAGAATCTTTTGAACTCAGGAGGCAGAGGTTGTAATAAGCTGAGATGACGCTGCTGCACTCCAGCCTGGGTGACACAGCAAGACTCTATTAAAAAAAAAAAAAAAGTGCCTTTTAGGCCAGGCACAGTGGCTCATGCATATAACCTCAGCATTTTGGGTGACTGAGGCCAGAGGACCCCTTGAGCTCAATAATAATAAAAATAATTTAAAAGTGGTTGAATCTGTAAGCAGTTGAAATAAACCCCCAAAAATGTTATGACATGAAAATTATGTGAAATTCAAACTAACATCTGTAAAGATGTTAAAGATTTACTGAAGCACCACCATGCCCATTCTTTTTTTGATATATTCAGTGGCTGCTTTCAAGCTACATTGGCTGAGCCTAACAGTGTCAACAGAGATTGTATGGACCACAAGCCTAAAAGATCTACTCTCGGGTCCTTTACAGAAAGAATTTACCTACCTCTGCTCTAGAGTGAAGGCTGAGTCTTGGCATGTGCACCAGGCCACAGGTATTTGTTACTGTGTTTTGCAGAAGGTTCAGCTAAGAGGGAGGGCTCCTAGGAGAACTCCCACCATAAAACATGAAAATCACTTCCTTCTTGGCATCGCTGTTTCATACACCCTCTCCCCCTCCACCCTTCCCAATGTAGCTTCACGGTTTGCTTCCTCCCTTCCTGGGCTCAAGTGATCCTCCTACCATGGTCTCCCAGTGCACTGGGATTACAGAGGTGAGCCACTACACGTGGCTCTGATTTTTTTTCTATAGTGCTTATCAGACATATTCCATGCTCATTCATTCATTCATTCATTCGAGACAGAGTCTCATTCTGTCACCCAGGCTGGGGTGCAGTGGCACCATTCTACTGCCTCAGTTTCCCGAGTAGCTGGGTTACAGGCATGTGCCAGTGTGCCTGGCTAATTTTTGTATTTTTAGTAGAAAGGGGGTTTCACCATGTTGACCAGGCTGGTCTCTAACTCCTGACCTCAGATAATCTACCTGCCTCTGCCTCCCAAAGTGCTGGGAGCCACTGCACCTGGCCTCCATATTTATTTATTTATTTTCTATTTCCTGTCACTACAATGTGAGATCGATGTGGGCAAGGATTTTGCCCGTTTGTCTGTTGTTCTATCCCAGTGTCTAGATCAGTGCCTGGCCCACAGCAGAGACTTAATGAGTGCTTATTGAATGAGGATTGAATTACTCTTGGTTTATAACAACCTGCTGTTTACAGGAACCTTGGTGTGAGAAAATGCCTGAGGGTGGAAGGCAGTGGACCAGTGCTGCACAGTGCATGGTAATCAAAGAGAGGTCTTTTTTGTGGGGAGTGGGTACAGCTGGGTGGATGATGGGGTGATGTGGCAGAGGCCACACCATCTTGATGAGTGGCCCTTGAACCCACTGGACAAGGGGAATGGTTGGTGGCTGGGGTCCAGGTCCATGGTCTCACTGACTTGGAGTGGCCTTGAAAGGTGCTCTGAGAATGGGGACCCAGGGAGCCCTTTGCTTCTGTCCCCTACCCTTCAAGGACAAATTGGAGGTGGATCCTGGTCTCACATCTACAAAAAACAATTGTTTCCGAAGTTTCCCCCCCGTCAGAGTTGTTAGCCCCCCACACCCCAGACAAGTCTCACAGCCCTGAGTCATGCATTAATGATGGGTGTGGGTGTATGAATGAGGGGGTGGCTGAGCCCACTGATCGAAGGCTGAGGCATCCTCATCGCTAATCAACAAGTTAATAAGCTCTTCAATGAGGAGGTGGTGATTAATGAAATAATCAGCTTGCCCTGTAATTGGGGACTGAGATTAGAGGAAGGGAGTATGATGGATAGAGACGGTTTGCAGGGATGTGTGAGGCTGGCTCCTGGTACACACTGAGACCACCTAGGGGCCCATTTACTTTGGCTATAAATGAGGAAGTGACTTTTTCAGAGGTTGTAGCCCGAATTCAGGCCACTCCATGCCCTCTAGCTTCTACAATGTCTCTCCTCTCTTCCCATCTGTCCTTGGACCCCACATACCCCAAGACATGATGGGATTCCAGGACATGACGGGTTCCAGATGTCAGATTCCCTGGACATCTCACAGTCTCCATCTCTTTGCCCCGAATCGGTGTTCTAGAAACCCATCACCTCCATGGTTAGTGCTGCAGGGTCGGAAGAGCAAACAGCCCCCTACTCTCTAGTATCCTTGCCCCCTTCAGGGTCCTTCTCTGGGCCCTGACCCCTGGGATCACAGATGTCCTAACCAACCCCTGCTGCCCCCTCCATCCTAGGGTGAGCACCTGTCTCTTGTCTTCCCACAGGAGTGAAATTCTTTGATTTCTGCTGTCTCCCCTCCCAACAGGACAAAGTCTATCTCTGTCGCTCTGTATCTATGTTCTGGGAACCCCTCAGACTGGGGCTCCTCTACTACATGGCCACATCTCTCCTTTGAGACTGGGGTTCTTCAAGGACAGGGTTGTGCCTTGCCCCTTGGATGAGGGCTCCCTAAGAAGAATGCTTTTTCTCCTCCCTCCAAGGGCAGGATCTATGTCCCCTTGTCCTGGTGTCCTCTTCCACCTCCATGCTCAGCAGGGCACCCTGGTGCTTCCTGGGATGTACAGTCCCATGGGGCCTCACTGGCTGATAAGCAGCCATTTCCGGAGAATGCAGGTGATTGAACTCATAAAAGGGTGACTGCAGGAGCCCTGAACTCCCCATCTCAGGAGAGCTCTAAAAATAGCACCCACAGCCATCTGTCCTGGGGTTAGAGGAGCTGGCTCAGAACCAAGGGGATGCTGATGGGACATCTAGAAGTACTGGAGGTCTGGCCAGGCCAGGGAGAGGAAGCTGGAAGGGCTTTATGGGGAGACCTTCGCACAGCCTTCTCTCCTCCAGGAGAGAAGGGGTGGGTTTGAGGGAGTTGGCAGTCTGGAGGCCCTTCCCCTGCCCTGGCCTCTCAGAGTGGGTGGTGGGCCCCAGACTCAGTCTTTGGGTCTCTGCTCCCAGGCCTGCCTCTGGTGCCCCATGGCTACTCCAGGTGCTCAGCCTTTCTGCCCTCATGACGGAGAGGTCCTCTTCCTGCGATCTGCCTCACCCTCCTTTTCCTGTGTGAATCGTGGGTGAGCTTGGCTGCTCTATCACCTCTCAAAGCTTCAGTTTGCTCATCTGGAAAATGGAGATAAACTCACCTCACCGTCTTGTGATGCTTGAAATTATGCACCACCTGGTGCAGATAGGTGCTTAATAAACACGAGTCCTTTCCTTCAAAGGATCTGGGCTTCAGAGCCCAGTGGAGACTGGCATGGGCTGGGGACAGTGGCATGTGCCTGGGAATCCTTGGCATCACTCAGGCCCAGAAAACATCTGTGCCCTGAATGACGCCTGCATAGGGGTGAAGAGACTCTGCCTTGGGAGGGGGCTGTATGCCACGCATGGCTGGACCGGGGTCTGTGTGTGCCAGGCTGGATACACAGGTGGCCGACTCAGCTGCCTCTGGTTGGGGGGGGACTGGCTTCTGTTCTGCCTCCTCCTGCCTCTTTTCCAGCTCTTTAGTAGAGAGGACACAATGGAGTGTTCAGAAGGGCCGGTACCCCAGGACACATAAACTGCATGTTAGGAGCCAAGGTCATGTGCTCCCACCCCTGCCTCCAGGAGAAAGACTTTCCCCCAGAGGTCCTGTCAGTCCTCAGCCCTTCTTCACGGTATTACTGAGCAGAGGCTGAAAAGGGTTGTCTTTTGGAAAGAGAGGACATAGGTCCCACAGGAAATGTGTCCACACTCCCACTCTACTCCCACTAACTGACAGGCTAGGGAAGATAGAATCTCAATCCTGGTCCTAGGGCCTGCCCAGGAGTCTAGCTCCAACCACTTCACTTCCTCGGGAGGCTAGACCTGCCACTGGGGGCTGTGGGGTGAACATGGGTTCAGGCTGGGTAACCCATCCAATGGGACCCCGAATCTGAGCATGGCAGCTGCCCCCTGAGCTCTTGCGGGGTGTTGGCTGGTTATAAACTCACGTACTGGCTGGGTATAAGCTCAGTGATCTGGCGGGGTGGAAGGAGGGAGGAAGAAGGGCCCACGCCCTGCTGGCTCCCCCTCCTCCTGATACTCCCCCTCCCTTTCCAGGCGGGGATATAAGCCCCGCAAGGAAAGCGCTGAGCAGAGGAGACCTCGGCTTGACCTGCGGGAGTGCAGCCCTTGGGACTTCCCTCGCCTTCCATCTCTTGCTCATCTGCTTCACGAGCTATCGCTGTAAGCGGCTGGGGGCTCAAGCATGGTCTGGTCCCGGGAAACCCAGGCTGTTTTGTGGGGAAACTGAGGCTGGGGTGGTGGCAGCCGGGGGTGACTGGTGGGAAACTGGATTGGAGGGGGCCATCGGAGACGGGAAGGAGGCCAGGAGTCCCGTTGACAGCAGAGCCCTCTTCTTCCATCTACCTCTCTGGGCAGCAGCGGGGGTGGGGTGGGGAGGCAGGCAGAGCTTAACGCCCCTCTGACAGATGAGGAAACTGAATCAGGTGCAGTGCCTGAGAACACACAGGTGCCTTGGTCAGGCACCAGCCACAGGGAGAGCGCTGGAGCGCTGCCCAGACGGCAGCCGCAGCCTCCTGCCGTGGAGCGTCGAGGCTCGGAATGACCCACGCCCCAGTGTCGCCTTCCCAGATGGTGTTGGTGCGCAGGCCGTGGCCCGCCTTGGTCACAGTGCTTCTGGCCCTGCTTGTCTGCCTGGGGGCGATTGTCGATGCCTACCCCATCAAACCGGAGGCTCCCGGCGAAGACGCCTCCCCGGAGGAGCTGAGTCGCTACTACGCCTCCCTGCGCCACTACCTCAACCTGGTCACCCGGCAGCGGTGAGCGCAGGAGCGGAGCGGGCGCAGCGGGACCCCTGGGACTCTCACCTGCGGCCCCGCTCCACCTGGGGGCGTGGCCAGGTCTGACCACGCCCTCCCTCCCCGCCCCGCCCCCAGGTATGGGAAACGAGACAGCCCGGAAGCGCTCCTAGCCAAAACGTTCTTCCCCGACGGCGAGGACCGCTACGTCAGGTCGCGGTAAAAGCGCCCCCTTCACCACACATCCTGCTTCTGAGAGCGCGGCCCGGCCCCACTCTGGCAACTTCGTTTACGAAGTCTCCTAGGCTCGCCTCCCCAGATCCAATTCCTTTTCCTTTGCTTCTCCAGGTCAAAGGGCGCAGACCAGTGGTGAGGACACCCGAGGCCTCCTGGGAGTTCTGCCGACCACGCCCTCCTCATTTGCATATGCACTCCGGAACCCAGAAACCCGGATTCCTCCTCCCGATAGCGGCGTCTGGTCTGGGTTCGGGTGCGGCCCTTCGTTTGCGTCTCGTTGCCCCTGCCCCCTGGGCTGGAGGGCTGTATGTAGTCCTTCCCTGGTCCTAAAATAAAGAGCAAACTCTACAGAAACGGAATGTGTGCCTTTGTATTTCTTTTCCTTTCTCCTTAGTGGAGGTGGCGTCCGCTGGAAGTGGAGGGTGGAGGCGTGGGGGTCAGGGAAGAGAAAACCCACTCGGACAGAGGCGCTCCAGGACAAGGCTGGGGCGGGCGGCGGGGTTCCCTCTGCTCTGAGCTCAGGGAAGACTCGATCACCCAGCCTGGAGCTGGACAGCGCCCAGACCAGGGACTGCTGGAAGGAATTCTGGTAGAGTGGGGACAGGGGTGGATGGAGCTCGGGGAAGAAGGGGCGGGGAGAGTGGATAGGAGTCTGCTGGCAGCCTAGGAGAGTAGATGGGGACAGGGCTGTCCCTCCCTTACCCCGTGAAGCCAAAGACGGTGGTGGGGGGGGCGGGGCGGGCACCAACACACCCGGGCGCTTCCCTAGGAGCTGTATTACTAGTGCCCAGGGCTGGAGTGGCTGGTGGTGAAGTGTGGTCCGAAATGGGGCAGTGGAGGATGAGCCATGTGGGAGTGAGATGGCTGTGTGTGTGCTGGCTGAGAGGCAGGTCATTTCTGCCGTCCCCCTTTCCGGGAGCAGAGGAGCAATGGGAGGGGAGTGTGGAGGCTGCCCTATCCCTAAGAAACCACCCTCCCCATCTTGCTGAATTCACACTGAGTGGATAAATCACTAACAGTCCTTTCCTAGTGACAAGGCCATAGGGACACCCTCCCGGGTACCCTCCTCCCTTGGACTAGCTACTGAAGCCTAAAGGCGCTGTGGATGTTTAAACTGGAGTCCAGCTCGAATCCCTCACCACTCTGCACCTGTTCCAGAGCCCACCTGCATGCTGATCTCCCCTGACATCCACCCTTCCCTTCCCCTTTCCTCCAAGAGGTTTGCCTTGATTGCCCAATTGCACTCTTCCTGCCCTCTCTGGCTGCCCAGCTCTCGGGGCCTCTGCTCTGTTCACGGAGAGTTCTGTCTATGCCTCTGTCCTGTCTCCCTCCCTGGGCCTCAGAAAGGAAGGGCCTATGTCTCCTTCCTCGGACACAGCCTCCTGTATCTGTTGGCTCTCTCCTGGGCCTCCAGTTCAGCAAAACCTGCCCGAAACTGAAGCAGGGGACTAGGAGATGAGGGGGAAAATCAGATTGAGGTCAAAGCCCCTGACCCAGAAAGGGTAAAAAGGACAGGAAGGCTGAGGGCATCCATGCAACGATCAGGATTTTTAAGCACTATTTGCAGTTCAATGGTTCTGGAAGGAGAGAATAGTCTAAAGCTGACTGCCATAGCTGCAGAGGAGGTCCCTGTTGGGCCCCGGTCCCTTGGGGGCCACAGGGCTCTGACACCCACCCTCCCCTGTGCTGCCCTTCAGCCTCCCTGAGGTAGAGCTGAAAGGGTGAGGCAGAGGAGGAAGGGGTAGGTCACCAGCTATGTGGATTCTGGTGCTCTGTGCCTTTGCCCAGGCCACTTGCCCTGCTTGCAGAACCCTTTCTCTCTCTTCAGCCTGGCAGATACTCTCAGAATAGTGGTCACCTCCTCCTGGAAGCCTTGCCCGATTTCTTGGGAGTAAGTTTCTTTGGCTCTCTTTCCACACTCATTATTATCTCTAACCCACTTTCTATCTGTTTTGCCTTCTGTCTTCTCTCCTGCAACAGGACAGGTGTGACGGGAGCACGCAGTGGCTGCTGGGAGCTTTGGTTCATTGTGTGGGTCGGGAGTGGGAGGATGTGTCTGTGAGTTGGTGTCCATGATCCCCTGTCTGTTGGTCTGCCTGGGAGAACTGTAGTCAGTTTAAGGCAGATGGAAGAGAGACCTGGTGTGAATTAGGTATGACCACAGACAATTTCTGCTCAGCTTGATGTGTCTCATTGACCATCAGTGACATGGGTCCACCTCATGTTCATTTTGAGGCATGTTGAGCAGTGTAGGGCAATAATATTATTAATAATTATTATTAGTATCATGATAATGACAATAGCAATAATTACCTTTTCCAAAAGGCATTTATTTATGTGCTAGACACTGAGCTGTTAGTTTTGTGTATATCATATTACTAGGATACTGATTTGGCTTAAAAAAAAAACAGATGGAATTAACAGTGGTTTAAACAAGATGGAAATTTATTTCTCTTCCATGAAATGTGAATGGCCTCTGGGGAATTGGCAGCTCTGCTCCATAAGGGCATCCAAGAGCCCAGGCTCCTCATTTGTGGCTTCCCCACTCCCTCATCTATGTCATTTACAGGACTGAAGACAGCCCACCATGACCTCATCTGTGTCCCGGCCAGTGGCGAGGGAGGGAAGGGAAAGGTAGGCACTCTGGTTACTATGTTTATAATAAGTTATCCTAAAACTTGGCAGCTTCAAACAACCATTGTATATCACTCAGGATTTTGTGGGTTAGGATCACGAAGTGCGCGACTCTGCAATTCTTGCTTTGAGTCTCAGGTGCGGATATATAGTCAGAAGTTAGCAGGGTTGCAGTTATCTAAAGGATCCACTGGGCTGATGCCTGAGAAAACTCATTCCCATGCTGGTGCCGGCTGAGTTCGGCCCGGGCTGTTGACCTTTGTTCCTACATGTGGCCTCTCCAGCCTGATATTCTGGGGTAGTTGGACTTATATGGTAACTTGTCTCTTGACTACAGTGTTTCAAGAGAATCAGTTGAAGGTGATATTGCTGTTTAATTTGCTGGGGCTGCCATAATAAAGAATCGCAGACTGAGTGAATGAAGGTGCTGTTGGCAAGTTGGTTCCTTCTGATCTGTTCCAGAATTCTCTCCTTACCTTGAAGGTGGGTGTCTGAGCTGTGTCTCCTCACATCGTCTTCCCTCTGTGCATGTCTGTTTCTGTGTCCAAATTTCCCCTTTTCAAAGGAGACCAATCCTATGGGATTAGGGGCTCACGTGCTGTCGTATGACCTCATCTTAACTAATTATATCTGTGGTGATCCCATTTCTTTTTTTTTTTGAGACGGAGTCTTGCTGTGTTGCCAGGCACCAGGCTGGAGTGCAGTGGCACGATCTTGGTTCACTGCAACCTCCGCCTCCTGGGTTCAAGCAATTCTTCTGCCTCAGCATCCGGAATAGCTGGGACTACAGGTGTGTGCCACCATTCCCAGCTCACAGGGTTTCACCGTGTTGGCCAGGATGGTCTCAATCTCTTGACCTCGTGATCTGCCTATCTCGGCCTCCCAAATTGCTACGATTACAGGCATGAGCCACTGTGCCTGGCCAATCTCATTTCTAAAGAAGGTCACATTCTGAAGTACTAGGAGTTAGGACTTCAATGTATGAATTTCAGGGGGGACTCCATTTAACTCGTGACAATCACTTTTGTGACCCAGCTTCCGAAGTCACATGGCATCATACCCCATACTCTGTTGGTCACAGCAGTCACAAGTGTCCTCACATTTAGGAAGAGGGGACATAGACCCCACTGTAGAATCACACATGAGGTAGGAGATATTTTTGTGGTCACCTTTGAAAAATATAATCTGCCATCAATTCCTAAAAGCAGAACGGCAAAAATCACTCTAACTCTCAGCCCACTGGTTAAAGCCTAGTCTCATGGCCCCATCACCTGGAAAGACAACCTAGAAGATGTCTTCAGCTGAGTGGCTGTGTGCCTATTGCAAGCTCTTTGTTTTTAAAACTTTTTAAAATTTATAAATGGATTATCTTTTTTTTGAGATGAATTTTTGCTCTTGTCACCCAGGCTGGAGTGTAATGGTGCGATATTGGCTCACTGCAACCTCCTCCTCCCAGGTTCAGGTGATTCTCCTGCCTTAGCCTCCCAAGGAGCTGGGATTACAGGTACATGCCACCATGGCCTGGCTAATTTTGTATTTTTAGTAGCGACAGGGTTTCACCATATTGAGCAGGCTGGTCTTGAACTCCTAACCTCAAGTAATTCACCCACTTTGGTCTCTCAAAGTGTTGGAATTACAGGTGTGAGCCATTGTACCCAGCCAGATTATCTTTTTGTTATATAACAAACCTACATATGAACCATCTCAAGCTCTCTGATGATGAAGGGAGAATGTGGATATTTGGGCACCTTGCATTATGTATTAGAAATACGATGTCTTTTGAATGTCATAAATAAATCATTTGGTCCTATCTCTTCATTGAACCAATGGGAATCCTAAGGCAGAGAGGGAGAGAGGCCGTAGAGTGAGGGACAGAGGTAAGAGATCTCATCCCGAAGCAGTTCTGATTCTACTAAACATGAAATCTCAAGTCTTTGCCAGAAACTCAAGGCTTTTCATCAGACCCCTTCCTCCTCTGGTGGCATCTCCTGCAATTCCTCTGTGTGCATGCCTAACGTGCTCAGCCCCATGTCGCAGGCCTGCTTCTGTGAAAGCATTTTCCCTGCCCCAGCCTTCCAGGTCACTCATTTCCTCCAGGAAACTTCCTGTCCTGCCCTCCCTGTTTACCCCCCCAACACCGTTTTTGTTTTTGTTTTTTTTTTGGTATGGCGTCTTGGTCTTGTCGCCTAGGCTGGAGTGCAATTATGTGATCTTGGCTCACTGCAACGTCTGCCTCCCAGGAGTTCTCCTGCTTCAGCCTCCAGAGTAGCTGGGATTACAGGCACCCACCACCATACCCCACTAATTTTTTGTATTTTTAATATAGAAAAATTTCACCATGTTGACCAGGCTGTTCTTGAACCGTATTATGTAGCTTGGGATAGTTTCTATTCCAGCCATAGAGGTGCCTTCCTCTTTGAGAACAGTTTGGAGCGGCAATGATAGGATTTGCTGTTGCAGACGCTGGAGACAGGAAGAGAGAATAGTGAACTCTCCCTGTGTGTCTTTGGGAGGCCCTGGAGGCAGATGGAGTTCCCAGGGCAGAGAGAAGTAGAGCCAGGGCCCAGGCTCCAGATTAGTGGAGTGAGCCCCCACTGGGCCCTGAGTTGGTTCAGAGTTGGTGAGACAAGGGGCTGAAGGTATGTGCGTGTGTGTCACAGCTATCCCTAGCCCAAGAGTTTCTCCAGGGCATATGTCCTGGCATCTGGGGGCAGCTACCC